TACACTAATGACATCATAACATTTAATAATTTCAATGATATAAAAAGAATCGAGAAATATCAATATTCTTTTTTTTTCTTTCTTATATCTCTCGCAACTATAATCAACATATATTTTTGTGAATTTAACAATGAACAATGACAAAAATAAAGATAAATTTAATCTGAATTTCAATGCTTTGAAGCGTCCAAGAACAATATCAGTGAATGCGAAAGAAAAGGTAATTAACTAATTATTTTAATTTTATCATGTATCATTTATAAATCATGGTAATTATTTAAGTTTACTTATATAATAATAATATTATTTTTTAGATTATTGAACAAATTGGTATGAAACTTTTTATATTATTTAAATTTAGTCAAATGTCTAAAAAATACACCATTATTAATAGATATTGACATAATCTGAATATCAAAAAGACAAAAATTAAAAGGTTAAATTTGTTTAGTAATAAAAATGATGATAATGTTACTCAAGTAATATTTATTGCATTTTATATTATTTATTATTATTATTTTATTCCTTTATTTAAATATATTTAGGTTTTAATGTCAGATAATAAGCGAATCACCAATAAGACCTTCATTATTTCCTATTATTCCTTCAGTAGTGATAACTTCTTCTTCTTCTATTATTAAAATGACAATACGTAAAGATATGTTATCTGACAAAATAGCATCCAAAACTGTGACAGCATTCAAGGTAATGGCATCTAAAGCAACAGTATCAATGGCAATGGCATCATCAATAGCAATAGCATTCAAAGTAATAGCATTATCAACGGCAATTGCATCTAAAATGATAACGGCATTCAAAGTGATGGCTGATCAAGGTTAGACAAAATTTATACTAGTATTTATTGCTGTTATAAATGATTTAACGTCAATGATAATTTACTAGCAGCCAATAATTCGCATGAATTGACTAAATTAATTGAAATTGGTCAAAGTAACTTATCAAAACTTAATTCAGTGATAGAACATTAAGAAAGACTAGAAGTTATGATAAATGAACAAAAGGGTCAGATTGCAAAAATAATGTCAAGATTGGAAAATCTAGATACTCTGACTGAAGTTAAAGTGAAAGATGGCAAAGGCAAAGAAAAAAATAAAGGGATAAAGTCAGAAGAATTTTATCAAGTAAATATAATTTATATTATTTCTTTATATTGTTTTGGTATTATATAATTACTTGTATTATAGGATGCAATCAAAAAATTTGCTCATAAATTATTTCATGAGCACCAACAAATAAATGATATATAATAAAAATGCATCTTAAAGATAAGTTAGAAAATAATGAAGATTCTGCTAAACAACTTCAGATGTTGCATCATAGAGATATTTCATTCGATCAATTACGAAATGAAAAATTATGTTCAAGTGTAAGTAGTATTTATTTTATACAATATAATCTTATTAGTTGATAACTTTATTAATTTATTTAATATTTTCAATATATTAGCTTCTAAATACAAATCGTGTAAAGAAAGGTATTATATAAGAAGATTAAAGGAGAGTCTATAGAGCACTTTTAGAATTAATAGATAAAGTCTTATGGAGATGGTTTTAGTAATAAGCAGATAAGAATGTGGAAAGGGAGTGAAAGTATTAGAAAATTTTACGAGAATTTGTACATACCGAGCAACCCAGATGATCCATCATCTGATACTTACATCACATTAATCATTAAATCTATTTTCACATCTGAAAAAGAGCGTACACAAACAAATGCCATTTGGACTCAATCAGTATTAGAGATTATATTCGACAAGAATTACCTTTTGATAAAAATTGATTCAGATATTGTCAAATCCTAGACTGAAAATTTAATAGATGTAAAAGTGGTAAATATTTAAGCGTTTAGTATTTTTAAAACTAATTAACTTACTAATATTAAAATAATTTATTCAGGGCTCAGAAAATTATGATTATTTGCCTAATAGTGAAGCACTGATGCATAGTAATCTATATAATAATGATTACTATAATAATGATGATAACAATGACCATTATAATGATAACGATAGTTTCAGTAGTGATAACTGAGATTATGCATCATGGTGCTATATAGTTACTTTTTTTTTCCTTTTTTTTTCTTTTTCTTATATAAATCCATTTTTTTGGATGAATAATCATGATTATTTGTTTATTGCAATCAGGTGTAAAAATGTATTATGATCATATTTTAGCATATTTTAGCATATTTTTATTAATAAATTTATATTAATAATTGCATTTCTCAACTAAAATTAGCATTATTATACACATTTTTAAATGGTATTATTTTACTATATGTATTGTTCTATGCTTAAATTATGTTATTTTACATGTTTTTGAATGATGTTAATTGATAAAGGGTTCATTACGCAACACTTTTAAGCGTTAATTAACATTATGTGTATGTTGATACATTAAACACCTATTTCAAATATCCTAATGGATAGTATCCAATAAGTTCTAGTGAATCTGTGACAGGGTAATAAGCTGTTTCAGATAGTTTATACTAGGTGATAACTGTATAAAAATGTATTTTAAGATGGATTGCTATATTCTTTAAGGAATCAGAGACTTAGAGAAGTAATCTAATATTGAAATCAAACTTATTTTACTGAGAATATGCTCTTTGCTTACCTCTTTTCACTACATATTAATAAAAAATATTTATCAGGAGATTTAAAGGATTAGTGATTCTAGCTTAATCTATAAGATATTATTATCATGAATACTATTTTTACAAGTATACATTTTGATACAAATAATAATTTAATTTCAAATAATTTTCTACTTATATTAATATTATATCACACAACTTGTTAAATAACAATATTTAATATTTTATTATATCATATATAATTTAAACTTTATTAGTCTTCAAGAAACTAACTTCATTTCTAATCTATTCTCCTTATTTAACTATACAAATCCATTTTTTAGCACTAATTAAGAGAGTTAATCTAGTAAAATTAGTATTAGCCTCTGTTAACATATATTTCACTAAGCACATTTTTGAATATAAGTTTAAATTAGATTATGTTATCTATTCAAAATTACAATTTGCTAACAAACAAAAATTATTAGTCATTTTTTCTCAAACAAAAAAGGCTTTAAAGTTTTATATAAAAGTATTCAAGCATATATTGTCACACTTCTCTCTAAAGTTATTAGGATATATTATTTTATTAGGTAATTTTAATGTAAATTTTGATCATATATTAAATATCACTTATATAATCTACAGACCCCCGCCAAAAGTCTCTGAACACCATTTTTTAGGTGCGATTTCATATGGATAACATCATGTGACTTTATAATACTGTGGTCATATGACATTCCAGACTTTGTTTACATAAGTCAAACCTAATAAATGGTGTTTGGTTTGTTTATTTTGACTTTAAATCAAAATAAACTTTAATCTTCTGAAAACAATGAAAATGACCCAAGAATTAACAGCAGAACAACGCAACATTATATTTTTTGCCATCAACGTGGCGATAGTTACCGAACTATTTCTGAGACCATCAGTTGTGAAGTATCAACAGTATTTGACACTTTAAAAAGGATAAATAATATCAGAACTACTAATTCAAAGCCTCGTTCTAGTCAACCACCTCTTATTAAACCTTCATAACGAAACTGACTCAAGCGACTTGTAATCAATGATAAAGGAAAAATCGTCGCTTATGTACTGCAAAAGTTTAACAACTTTGGAAAAAAAAGACTGGCCAAGATGTTTCAGCTCACACTATTGGTCGGACACTTCGTGCAGTTGGGTTAAACAATTGTCTTGCTCGACAAAAATCTCTAATCTCACCAGCAAATATAGAGGCACGTCTTGCATGGTGTTTAGATCACCAAAGCTGGACAAAGGATGATTGGTTGAAAGTCATATGGAATGACGAATTGACCTTTTTTCAATTCCAACAAAGCTGATGTAATTGAGTGTGACGGGAACCTCAAGAAAAGTGGAACATTTCTTGTGTTTCAACTACAGTGAAATACAGCCCTGGCCGAATGTTTTGGGGATGCTTTTCAAGACAAGGCTTGGGACCCATTATTCCATTATTTGGAATAGCAAATGGTGCTTCACATGTTATCATCCTTCACAAGCACATTATGCCAACTATGAGACGTGCATTTCCAAATGGTAATGGTATATTCCAGGAGGATAATGCTCGCCTCCATAAAATAAAACTTGCAAAGAAATTTTATGCGGAAAATGATCTGTGCGTACTTCCATGGCCGGCTCAAAGTCCAGATCTTAATCTAATTAAGAATCTGTGGGCCAATGTCAAGAAAGCATTCGTGAAAGGAAAAAAAAGTCTTCAAATCTTGCTGAACTCAACCAATACATTAAGAAGGCATAGCGAAAAATTCCTATATATACTATTGAAAATTTGGTTGATACAGTGCGGTACCTCTATACTCATCAAGTCTTTATGACAATAATGTGACAATTTCCGATTGTTGCCAGGTCTTCTAAAATAGGTATTCTGAAATTCTAACTGATAATTTTGATAGCCGTTAATAAGAGCTTTTAAACTTATTAGTTTTGGTCAATAAATTTCTAATTTTGCAGAACTTATGTAAGCATATGCCACAACTGTTTTATATAAATTAAGGCAAAATTGAGAAATAGTAAATCCTATGTAACATATCAGAAAAAATGATATTTTAACGCAAATATCTCGATCGGCAAATTCTACATAGGTTTTCTTATGAAAAAATTTTTTTACAAGCAAAATTTTTTAAGAAATTTTAATGAAATTTTCATATATTTATAATAATATAGGCATCCTTTTTTTTCAGTTTTATTGTAATTTTTATATTATAATATACAATATAATATGCCTCTTACATGAAAGCAACTAGCTGCCAAGGAATGGGTAAAATATCAAACTCACAATACCAACTCTGGAAAATTTGTTTCTGGTATTTATGCTTTTTATAAAGAGGTGGTTTTTTTTTATGTTTATTTTTAACTTATGTTGCCTTTTTTTTTTTTAGTTTTTAATAAACTTTTGGATAATTCAAATGAAGAATATTCAGAAAATTCAGATGATAAATACTCAGAAAGTTCAGAGGGAGAATATTCAGACAGTTCGGATGAGGAATTTTATATAAAAAAAACTCTTCAATTAGGAGAAATAACATTTTTTTGGTTGGGACAAACTAAAGAAAATAAAAAAAGAAAGGCATCATATCTTGGAATATTTAATGTAACATACTATCGAAAATATGGACCATCAGGTTCATTTACGAAAGCAGCTAAAGGTTCTTCTTTAATTACTCAATACTATGTGAAAAAAAAATGAGACAGAAAATACAGAAACGAAATCCAACTATACAGAAACGGAATCTAATTCTGATATTAATGATGATGAGGAGAATGAGGATAAGAAGGATACGGAGGATGAGGATAAAGAGGATGAGAAAAATGACTTTACGAATGCAAGAACTTGAGAAAATGCTTAACCAAAATAAAAAAAAACTTTCCGCATATGACTATTTAAGACATCGTTCAATTCATGAGTTTTTTATAAACTTAAAAAAAGAAAGTATGACACATAAAGATGCTGCATTAAATGTAGCAAAAAAAATTTATAATAAAGGATCATAGAAAGCAAGAATAATTCGTAAATGGGCAAAAGGTTGGATAGAAAATGATTCTTTACCAGTTAATTTACAAGGTTGTCATTAGAAAACTAAATCATTTATTGATGATGAAGATGTAATTAGAAAAAGCTTAAAATTTATACATATAAATGAAGGGAAAATTACGCCTAAATTATATAAAACTTTTATTGAAGAAACATTTTTTCCACAAATAGGAGTACATAAATCAATTTCAAAAAAAACAGCAAGAATCTGGTTACGAAAACTTGGACTTGTTCCACAATCCCGACAAAAAGGAATTTATCTTGATAGACATAACGTCCAGATATTGTAGAATATCAGAATAAATTTCTTGAAAAGATGGAATTTTTTGAACGATTAATGCCAATATTTGAAGGAGATAATATGGATCAAAAGAATCCCACTTTATCTAAAGAAGAAAAACTTCATATTTTAGTAACTCATGACGAAAGTCTTTTTTATGCTAATGATGATTGTCCTATAATATGGGCTCCTCTTAGTGAACAACCACTTCGTAAAAAAGGACAAGGAAAATCTATAATGGTTAGTGAGTTTCTTTTAGAAACTATTGGTTATCTTAAATTAACAAATGAACAAGCTCAATTGAATCCTGAAATTCCATATGAAGCTCGAAAATTCTTAAAACTAGGAAAAAATAAAAAGGGTTGGTGGACAGCAAAACATTTAATTGAATAAGTAAAAAATTGTGCTATTCTAATTTTTGAAGTAATGCATCCAAATGCAATTGCTGTTTTTGCTTTTGATAATAGTACTAATCATGATGCAATGGCAGAAAATGCTTTATGTGCACAACGTATGAATCTTAATCCTGGTGAATGATAACCAATAATGAGAGATACTGTATTTGGATCAGAAAATGTTTTACAATCAATGATATTTTCTTCTGATCATCCAAAATATCCAAATCAACCTAAAGGTATTAAACAAATATTGATTGAAAGAGGTTTATGGCGTAATAGTTTACATCTTGAATGTCAATTATGTAAAGGAAAGAATAAAGTAATTGATTCTACAAGAATTGATTATTTTATACGTAGAATTATGTTTTTACAACCAGATTTTCTTACGCAAAAATCAGAATTAGAAACTGTAATTGAAGAAGCTGGACATAAATGTATTTTTTATCCAAAGTTTCATTGTGAATTAAATTTATTGAAATGTATTGAGGAGCAGCAAAAAGATATACTCGTGAATATTGTGATTATACATAGAATGGATTGCAAAAAACTGTTCAGAAGCATTAGATTCTATTTCATTAATTACAATAAGACGGTTTGCTCAAAAGTCATGGAGATATATGGATATCTATAGGAAAGGAATTACAGGAAAATTTGCTATATTTGCAGGAAAAAAATATAAATCATATAAAAGAGTTCCTGATGATGTACTTAATCAAATTATTTTAGAAAATGATAATAAATAAAATCAATTTTTTTTGATTATTTTATATAATAAATTTTAAAATTTAAATGTTCGATATATTAAATTATACATAAGTCATGTGATTTTATATGTTCACGTAATTTTATTATATTAGTTGAAAATTGAGAAAAAAATTTTTTTTGTTTAATTACTTTCTTTTAAAGAGAACTATTTATAATAATAATTTTATAAAATTTCAATCACTAGATCATGAGATATAGAGTTGATGAGTATAGAGATACCGTACTATATCATTTTGATTAAATATAACACTTTAATAAAATGTAATGCTTCTATTAAAATATAATACAAATGTATTATTTCGATTAACAAATGTATAGCTTTAGTAAATTGTAAAGATTTAATGAAATATAATAATAAAATGTAACATTATATAAATGTTAAAATCATAATTAAATGTGAAATCTCCTATTTATTGGAATAACTGATATATATTTTTTTGGATTTTTCTGTTCTATTTCAAAAATTTCAAAAATAAATTGACATAAAATGTTATATATGAAAATGATACAATCTCTTCCTATTTCATAGAATTCCAATTTCTATAACTTAATATTATAGGATTTATCATCATCATCATTTAATTTACAATGGAATCTTATCTTATGATTTTTGGCCAACATATACCATCTTACAAAAGTTAAATAATATACCTTAGGATCATCTTGTAGATAAACTATGTGTTTAAAAAAGAATTGTATTTGTCTAGAATATGTATCAAAAGTATCATCGTTTGAAAAAAGCAAGCCAAGATTTTTGCTGAATTGATATGATAAGAAAATAATGTTGATTTAAATATTTTTGTATTAATTCTTAATCGGCTAAATTAATTAACATATGGAAGAACAGGAATAGAACCATTCTGAGTATTATAAATGCACAATAGTATAAGAAAATTCTTATTATATGTATTATAATAAAAATCAGCTAATAATTGTTGAATATCTTGCTCTATTAATACATTTTTTTTTTGATTGGTCTAAAAAAGATCCTAGAAATTGTTCAGAACTGAAAGCTACTCCTTCTTCTATATTAGTTAATAATAAATAAAATGCTCAATATTCTTTATTAGTATATTTATCATACATGAAAAGAGTTCTAATTGAATCTTTTGATTTTAATATTCTGATATTTTCTTGAAAATGTTGATTTTATTTAACGCGAAACATTAATTCTTTTAAAATGGCATTATGTTGAATGATTTTTATAAGTTCTTGTTCAATTTTTCTATGATTGTTATAATATGATCCTAAAAATTTTATTAGGAATTATTTAGTAAATATTACAATAAATTTAATATTTAGGATTTTATTACCTAATAAGCCATTCATTCTCTCCATTAAGTAATACTAGAATGCATACAATAGTTCATAATTCAATGAGCATTCATATAAATGCAGATATACAGGAGGTAAAATAAATATTGAATAATTTTTTCGCGAAGATTTATTACATCAATTTTATATGAAAATTTATT